CTCTTTCAATTTTCTTCTTTAGAATCAAGCAAGCTTGGACGAGCCAAACTTACAAGGCTTGGGTTGTTTTAGGCCCAAGTCCTTTTTTTAAGGGTAAAAATAAGATGATGACGGTATCAATAATATATGTTACTTTGATATCAAGGAGATGGTCTAGTATTATAGCGTAAATCGGCATAAAGATACTTTAACTATATAAAAAATGTATATTGATTTGATATTTAGCGAGTATATTTATTATTTGTTAGATCAATTTTTCTACTAATGTGATTTATTAATTGTTACATTAAAATATGGCTAATTGGTTCAATGATACCTTATACTATCGATCAAAAGAGACTGGTACTTGAACTTTAATTTTTTCAATTTGAGTATCAAAACTATTTTTTGGTTTGTAATCGAATCACAAGATCTCATACTTTTTTCACATGATGGTGACATGACTTAATAAATAAAAGACACATTAACCCTTTTAGCTAGTTGTCCTTTTTGTCGACCAACTAGCTAAAGTAAAATTACAAATTACCTCCACTCCTAAATTAAAACAAAATTGAGACCCAAAAATAAATTACCCCACCAGTCATGGACAATATCTTCTCAAACCCTCTTATAACAAACATCCCTCTCCTCCAATCAAACCCAACACCAATCACAGTCATCCCTCTCCTCCGATCAAACCAAACACTAGCCATAACTCTCTCTTCCATCCCTATCTTCTAATCAAAACTCAACACCGACCCACTACAATTCTTATATCCACCATCTTTTTCAATCAAACAACATCAAGACCTACCAGCCCTCGTAGCCTTCTAGACCACCCCTCTTCTCTAATCAAACCCAACACCAACCAAAACCATCTCTCTTCGTCTATAAAATCCAACACTAGCCACGAGCTTTCTTGACCATCCCTCTCCTCTAATCAAGACCCAACACCAGCCATTACAACCCTCATAGTCATTATCTTCTTCGGCCAAACAATGCCAAAACCTAGCACTAACAACTATCAAACGACGTCGAAGCCCTCTCTCCTCTAATAATAATAATAAAAAACTAACTTTGTCACTCATTTTTCTCTTGCTTATCTAGGCAAAGATTTTAGATTTGTTAGGAAAGAAAAAAAAAGATCTTTATTGAAATTAGGCCGGAGATGAACATTATAATTAATGACCTCATGACTAACAACACCCTTTTCTTTTCAAACATTTATTTTATTATTTATTTCTTTATTTGTATATAGCATGTGTTTGGGTTTGGCAATTTAATTTAGGTTTGTATTTTTTTTATATATTTTATCATCATATGTGTTTGGATGTTGATCAATGAAATCGTTCGACTCAATTATGAAAAAAAAATAATTATGATGCTCAAATTGAAAAAAATTAAAATTCAGGTTTTTGTCTCCTATTGATTGATAATTAGCTTTTATTATCAAATCAATTAGCCTTAAAATATAAAAGATTTACCAGAATAAATCTAATAATGGGTTCATACTGCACCATCACGAAATTTAGTCGATCAACATTACCGTTGTTTCAAAACACCGACCAGACAATTAACATCTTTATATGCCAAACAAATTAGGACATTGAGGTTCTGGTGTTGATCAAAGTCAATAGGCCAAGTGGACGTTCCCACTACCAAACAACACAATCTTGACAGATGTCATGCATATCCTTGATCACACCAATAATTTTTTTTTTTTTACTAGTCATCAAGAAATTTGAGTATCTTTTGGTAATATATATATATATATATATATATATATATATATATATATATATATATATATATATATATGTCATTGTTTTTTTTTTAAAAAAAAAAACGCTTTTAAATTTTAATATATTTAAAAATCCGTTTTTGAATTTTGAATTTTAGGTTTGACTTTTTTAAATTTTATTTTTTAAGATTTCATTTTTCATAAAAAAATAATCACATAAATAATTTTATAATGAAAATCATTTAGTAAAATTTACTCTATATTTTTGTTTTGGTTAACTAGTCATCAAGAAATTTGAGTACTTTTTTGTGCAACAGCAAGAAATTTGTAGTCTCATTGTTAAGCTTAGGAAAAGAAAAGGCTAAATTGGTTGAATTTTTTTTGAGTTTTGATATATTTGAACATCAATTCCTAAACTTCTAATATTGGATTTGACATTTTTAAATTTAAATTTTTTAGATTTAATTCATATTTTTTTTTTGTCAAAAATAATGGTCACATAAATACTTTCATAATAAAAATCATTCAGTAAAATTTATTTGAGATTTCTCAAAAAAATAAAAAATAAAAAAAATTGAAATCATTCTGGGTTATTTTCTAGTTTTCTAATCTTTTACATTTTCAATGTTAAAAAATAAAATAATATACTTTCGGATTTCAAAAAATTACGAGATTTTTTTAGAAAATATATTGGATGTTTTCTATCACGTGTGCAAAACTTTAGTACAAAATACCAAAAATTAAAATTTTTAAAGGGGGTTGATAGTTGGAGATGGGCTAAATTTAACAAAAAAAATCAGGAGAGGTCAAACTAAAAAGTAAAAGTTGAGTAATTGATTTTCAAATAAACTAGAATTCAAGAGAGATTTGACCTATTTAACCAAAAAAAAAAAACTTTACCAAGACATCGCTAGAAAGGTGGTGTTAGGTGAATAAGTGGCAATGTAACTTGATAAATAAAAAAATATATCCAGGCCTTTTGTAAACTAATTGTAATGCTGATAAGATTTTTTTTTTCAAGTAATTATCAGGCTATTTTAATCTACACATACTGACATACCATAACTATTTCTACACTCCCCCCCCCCCCCCCCCAAAAAAAAAAAAAAAAATTTCTTGTATTTGTACATCAATTATTAATTAATTGGTACCAATCAGGGATTAAGGAAAGGAAAAAACAAATTCATAACTATATATAAGCACAAACTCTTTAGTAGTTTTTAAGTGACTATTATATCCTTAATACGGTACTAATATTGTAGCATGCTTCTAATAATAAGAAGTAAAATTCAACCTCATCTCTAATTAAAAAAAATGGTAAATTTTTTTAAAAGAAAATTATTAATTCATAAAAAAAGAGGTTATTTTTTATAATGGATCCTAAATATAGCTTAATCCTCTTTTTTATTTACACACCAGATTAAATAATATAAAATGAGTTAAATTACTCGTAAATAATATTATATTGGCACTTTATTTTAACTATCAAAATTCTAAAAAGAATTAAAAACATGAATTATTAAAATCTAAAAATAATTAAATTACATTAAAATTCAGTAAAAGTTTTATAGGTTATTTTTTATTATTTTCCTATATATATATACTCTTTTAAAAAAAACATTGATAATATTAAAATAAAGGAAAAATTATTTAAAAATAATTTATGAAAATTTTAAGTATACATGTATTGTTAATTTATATTCACATCACATATAATTAAAAAATTATTTAAAATAGAAAGCTTTGCAATAATATAATGTTAGGTGATCTTTTAGTAATTATCATTTTTAAGAGTTATGAGTATTTGTCCTAACTATTAATTATTACATTTTTAAAGATAATTCAATTTATGTCTCTAAGTTTTGCTAAAGTACAGTTAAGATTATATTATATGGTCAAAATTAAAAAAAAAATTAATTTAATAATAATTATCAAAATTTATATGAAATTATTTAAAATATAATATATTTATTTATAAAAAAAATCAAATTTATTCATTTATATTTATTATAAAAAATTATATTAGATCATTTTAAAACCAAATATATTTATTTACTAAAAAAATCAAATTTATTATTTGTAAATAATTATAAATAATTTATTATAAATGAGAATAAAATATTATAAATTAGTTAAATAATACACGTGAAAAGTATGTACCAAGAAATTATAGATTAGTCCTTTTATTTTCAAAAAACAAATTAATTAGTTTTTTTTTCTTGAACTAAGTAAGTAGTTTCTTAATCAGTATTGACTACACTTAATTTAATACTCTCTCGTTTCCAAAAAGATTTTTCTCTTTTCTATTTATAATGATCGTCTGATCAAAACTTTAACTACTATATTTTTCTAAAATATCCATAATCGATTATTTCTTCTATTTCTTATTTTTTACTAACTAAAAAAAATCAATATTCTTTACATTTTTCTTTTACATATACAAATATTTTGAATATAAAACAAAATCAAAAGTAAATTTTTTATTACATGAAAACTATTCATTTTATGGAAAATTAAGGATTCCTTAATGATCTTTATATATATATATATATAATCAATTTAAATTTGGTACCTTGATTTTAGACCTAATTTTTTGGCATAAAATTTCATGAAAAATTTAGAAAGGCTTAATGATCTCTAAATCTTTCTATAATTTTCCAACTTAAATAGGAGGAAAGAAAATCTTGATTAATCGTTTAAAAATTTTAGAACTCAAATTGAGCAAGATGGAAGGGTATTTTAGGAAAGTGAGGAAAAAAATTGATGTTTTATAACAATTAATATTTTTTACAAAAACTGTAGAAAAATCAAAGGAGATTAACACTTTGGGACAGATAGAGTATTATTTTATTTCAAAAATTCATCTTTTCTTATTAATAATTCCATATTTTTATTATTTTTATTTATTACAACAAAAATTTATAAAATAATAAAAATATTAAGTTACAAGAAATTATTTTAAAAAAAATAATTAATTTTTAAAAGAAAGAAGACTTAAATTAAATCGTTTTTTTTTTAAAGGAACTAATTTATAATTTACTCAGAAAATAGTGTAAAAAGAAAAAGAAAAAATATTGTAATACTCAGCCCCTAGTAGAAGGTAAAGAAAAAGTAAAAGGTCGTTGAAAGTGGAACCTGTATGCTATTTCGTCCGCGTTCACGAAAAACACTAACCCTCCCCTGTAACCCGCGCCATTAAATACTTCTGTCTAAGAAGTTGTCTGAGTCTATCTTCCTAAACCTAATATCTTAGGGTATAGAGAGAGAACTCCAGTGAGAAATGGGTTTCCAGAAGGCAACAACATTGTTGGAGGATCTGATAAAGAAGACAGGAGGCTGTGCGGTGATCGACGGTGGATTCGCCACCCAGCTTGAGAGACACGGGGCAGCCATTAACGACCCTCTTTGGAGCGCTCTCTGTTTGATCAAAGATCCTGACCTCATAAAACGGGTCTGTCTCTCGCTTGCTCTATCTCTCAACATATTCATTGTCGTCTTATAGTTTTATTTACCGTCTGATCGTATATAAATAACGGGCTCTGCTTTTTGAAGGTGGGTTTTTGAAATCCTTTTCAAGGTTTTAATCTTTTTTCTTCTCGTTATTAACGTGGTACAGGTTCACTTGGAATATTTAGAGGCAGGTGCAGACATTTTGGTTACTTCTTCTTACCAGGTTTGTTGCACCTGCAAGCTACATGAATTTGATCAAATTTTAATGTTGTGAGTTCATGTCTTTCAAACTGAATGCATAACAAAAGGAAAATGAATTTCTTTGTCCAATGGATCAGCAAGAAAGAAACAAAAGGAGGAAAGAAATTCTGGTTGAATTCATAATGTGCACTAATTTCTTGTTGTGATGGATTTATTCTGCATTTTATACTTGTACATTACTCTACATAGCCAATTAATCCTAATCTTAATTATTTGGTTGTGAAATTTTTTTGGAATTAATTTAAAGATTTCATTTTTAACTACCTCCTCTTTTGTCTTATTTGGATTCATTTTATATTTATAGGCCACTCTTCCTGGATTTCTGTCCAGGGGATTATCCACTGAAGAAGGAGAATCGTTATTGAAGAAAAGTGTTACATTGGCTGTTGAAGCCCGTGATAAGTTCTGTGATGCTGTGGAAAGTGATCCTGAACAGAGTTATAACCGAGCTTTGGTAGCAGCCTCCATTGGAAGCTATGGAGCTTATCTTGCTGATGGCTCTGAGTACAGGTGCCCTTAAAAAATACTTAATTCTCTGAAGCTTTTTGGATCATACAGATTAGACTTCTGATAAGTCCACATTTTCAATGTCATTGTGTATTAGCCTCTTTTGATTTTGTATGTGCTGTTTGCTTCCAGTGGGTGTTATGGACCAGATGTGAATCTGAAAAGGCTGAAGGATTTCCATCGGCGGAGGCTGCAAGTTCTGGTTGAAGCCGGTCCAGATTTGCTGGCCTTCGAGACCATTCCCAATAAACTTGAAGCCCAGGTTTGTTTTTCTTTCATTTATGCTTTCTGACATGTCACACATATTAGAATTAATATGTTTATAAGAATTATGGGGCAAAATCATTGTCGCTTCATGCGAATGCAAGTTCTTTTATCAACATTGAAACAGTCAGGATTCCTTACATCTTAAAATTCTAAACTAGCCTCATAAGCAGCAAGAACAACAACTAAGCCTCGACCCTAAACTAGTCAGATTCTGCTACATGTATCCTTTTGCACCATTCGACATGATCATAATTCTCAACTAGCCTCATAAGCAACTTTACATATTTTCTCTGTTCTATAATCTAATTGTTAATTTGTCATACTCCTATTTGTTATATCTCTTCCTTGATAGAAGCATGAAACTCTGTAACATAACAACTTTATGATGTACTTGCTGAAGTCCAATTGAGTTTTATGGATATGCCTTACAACTGATCATGAAGGTTTGGTTTGAATGCACAACTATCCTCAATTTTGTTTTGTCAGTCCATACTTTGCTGAAATACAGCAGGGCAATTGTCTGTCTAATGATTTATAATTTATCTAAAGCCACATTACTCTACAAAAAACTTCTGGGTAACAACAATTTCTGTGTAATTAAATTGAGGATGCAGTAGATAACCTTACGTAAGATTTCATTTATTAAAAGGAATACAGCTGCAGATAATCAATAGCATTTATATGTAGATTTTGAGACTTCTATCATAATTTTCTTATTAAATCTAGAGTAAATATTTGAAAATGATCCATGTATTTTCCATTAAGAGATTTTTTTAGATAGCTCTAAATACCCTTTCAATCTTTCTTTGATTAGTTTCTTATTATAGACATTTTTACAATCTCTATTTATTTTCTTTACATTTTTCCAAAATCTTATATCTGTGGAGTGTGAAGCAATCACTATGTCCTTTTCGGGAGCTACATGTCCATGTCATGTTAGCCCTCTAATTGAATGGCAATAATATTGCCATTATTATCAGAAATCTATGTGTAGCTTGCTAAACTCATTAAGATGGCTTTCTACCAAAGGGAAAGTATCTTTGTCGTAGATTAATGGCCGTTATATAACTGTTTCAAAGCATCCTATTACTGTTATTTTAGTACTCCACTATTTCGCAATCTGCGATGGCGACTGTGACCAATGTCTGCAATTTCAAACTATGAATTCTCTGTTGCATTACTCTTTGTGTGGTTGGTGAACTGCCTTAATCATGAATTAAAAGAATTTTAGTGGTTGTTTTCCACAAAAAAGAATATTTTCTAAAATTCTAACCTCAAGTTCAAGCTTCTGAATATTTTCTTTCTTTATGTACTGCCTCTTGATAGCATCTGAACTGACAATTTCAGGCCTGTGTCGAGTTACTTGAAGAAGAAAACATCAATATTCCATCTTGGATTTGCTTTAGTTCCGTGGATGGTGAGAATGCCCCATCCGGAGAGAGCTTCCAGCAGTGCCTTGAGGCAATAAATAAGAGTGACAGAGTAAATGCAGTTGGAATTAATTGTGCACCTCCCCATTTTATTGAAGGTCTCATCTGTAAATTTAAGAAGGTATGACGGAACAACAGAAAAATTCACTAAATGATAAACAAATGGAATATAACAGTCTATTTCTCTGCTCATTATTTTTAGTTAAGAATAACTAAATGATAAAACAAAATGGAAAACAACAATCTAATTCTATGTTCATTATTTTTAGTAATTTGTCCTGCTACATTTGTCTTTCTGAAGCTGACTGAATAATTTTGTACTCTCTTGTTTTATTATTATTATTTGTTCAACTAGCAATTTGGCCTGCAATCACTCTTCTTTTTTTTTTTTTTTCAGACGACGGAAAAGTTGATAGTTGTATATCCGAATAGTGGCGAGGTATGGGATGGCAGAGCTAAAAGATGGCTGGTAAGTCTTTTTTGTGGCTTATTCATTTTTTAGATTTATTTTATTTTAGATCATCATTTTCTTAAACTTTATTTCTGACATTTGTATCCAAATTGTGATGTTTTATCTATTATTTACTCTCCTATTATGTTGGGTATCCACAGCCATCAACCTGTTTTGACGATGATAAATTTGAGTTCTTTGCAACAAGATGGCATGACTTGGGAGCTAGCATCATTGGAGGCTGCTGTCGGACAACACCATCCACTATCCGAGCCATTTCAAAGGTTCTAAAGGATCCTAAGCAGTTTTAGGACTGGCCTGGAATCTTTCTATTTTGAGGATAGCTACACTTCTCCTTATTCTATTTCCTCTATAATTAAAAGTTAGATGCATACTTCTATTTATTTATCTCTCTCTCTCTTTTTGTAGTTCTATATCCTTGTTTAGCTGAATTTGCTTTGCTAATTCACCATCCTGAAATTATTTCTGGCATCTTGCCATTTGAAAGCAGAAGAAACCGATATAGAACCCGCTTTCCAATTCTAATAAATTAATTTTGATGCATGCTTTAGTAGCTGGATGGATTTGAAGATTAATAAGGTATCGGATCCATTTTAATATGGTGCGTTCCCAAGTTTTTGACACCCACTGTAACAGAAATATGATTTCAAGAATTGCCTTCCCTAATTGAATGCAAGGTTTGGGGAAGATTCAAAGGGAAAGCGAGAAACTTATTTAAGGGAATGCTATGTAGCTGAACTTAGTGTTATCAAAAGTTTTGCTTTCTGCCCGTCAGCAAAAGTTATTTCCGTACGGTAAAGAACAAGGCAAGGACCATATAGCTTTAGTAGCTCGAATACAGTCCACCCAGAATTCTCACTGACTCACCGTCACTGTTCCACTGCCACCACTTAGTACCCAGCATACTAAAGCATTGGAGATTCCCTGTGCGAAAACGCAATTCCATGCTCCTTGCTCTTTTCTGCGAAAACATCTCTGGAGTGTCCAACTCAGACTCAGCGTCGAGTTGAAAAACAAGGTAGCTAACCATTTGGGAGCAAACTCAATTGAGCAGTAAAAGAAAATTGAACCATCCACGTTATCTGAAAGGTGATGAAAATCACACCATCCAATTCTCCTTCCTCCTCTCGTTACATGCAATCTTTAAACCATGGTCCCGTGAACCTCGTATTTTTCACATTGCGCTTCTCATACACAGCTTATGAACCCAACTCATAAATGAAGCTTAAGTTATCAACCATCATCCCTGCCTCATCGGCTTGTGCCTAATTCATAATTGTCATCAATATGCAATGGCCCAACGAAATTTTGAGCCTGGGGCGCATATTGTGTCATTCATACACTGGACATGGAAAGTTAATCGTTTAGAATCAGCCAGAGCAATAATGTACCCTTCAAGAAAAGCTATTGCTCGTGCAACGGTTCTATCAGAAGACTCAAAACCCACCCAAGGAAGTTTGTTAACTAAGCAGGCTAGTGAGTTCGGGGAAGAACATCAGAAGTAATTGAGATAACCAGGCGAAAATCACCATATCGGTCATTAGAGACTCGGATTTACTTTAACGTGTTTTAAGGTGCGACTCTCTTTTGGCCAGGCACTGAGAATATGTACCACAGCCTAAAGGCCCAAAATCAGTGACTGTCAGAATGACAACTAACTCCGTTCAACTAAAAATAAAACTGGCGCTTGACGCCAGAAAGGCTACAGTGGCAATCTAGCTAAGATTGTGAAGTTAGACAGTGGCAAGCACTATCCATGTTTTACTATTTTTTTCTTGTCTAAATTTCTATATACAGCAAGTCACCAACAAGCTGAAGCCCATGCATTCAGATCCAACACATGAGAATATGAACAATGCTGAAAGAAATCATCTTGGAAGCGGGCCGTGGTTAGTGTAAGGTCCCCAAGCACTGCCATAGTTATCGCCAAATACACTGCCAGGATATCTAACTTCAAGGCTTTCGTTCAACATTCCATACCTCTCAGCACCTACACAGATAAAAAAGTCTTCAAATCAATAAACTTTAACAGATTCAGGCATACAGAACATGATGAGACACCTAGTTTGAAGCCTCAATATTCTCAATTCTACTAACCATTCGGACAATTGCACAGGGGACAGTGAATGCAATATCCATGTGCTCTCCTATTGGCATTCAGCTGCTCAGCTTGTAGCTTCTCAGTTCTATGGGCCATGTGCGACATGTTGTTTTCCATTCTCAGCCTTTGGCCAACTTGTTCCTCATTGGCTTTCTCATACTCAAAAGCTCTCCTAAGAATATAAAGAATTGTCAAATTACACTGGAAACGGCAAACTGCGAGCATCTTTTTACAATTCCATCTTACACCTTTATCCATCTGTGTTCTTCACCTCTTATTGAGTAAAAATACATGTGGTTAGACTCAATTAGAGAAATCAATCATGTACTTATATCATAATCCAATTTCAAACCTGGCCTCAACAAGCTCCTCGTGCATTTGGTCAGCATCAGCTCTCACTGAAGCCAATTGCTGATTCTCAGCTTCTACTTGAGCAATTTCGTGCATCAAACCCTGAATTTGGGCAGTTAACTCCTGACGGAAAGCATTTAAATCCTGAACTTCTTCCCTTAGCTGCAAAACCTCAGTTTTTAGAGGCTCAGAAGCATGTAGTTCATCTTCTAGCTTCATTTGAATCTCAATCAACTCCCTGCCCTGCGCCTCTTTATCAGCCTGAAGTTTGAGTACGACCTGTCCCAGTCTGTGAATCTCATTGTTTGCAGCTGTCAATTCTGTTTGAAGAAGTGTATTGTCTTCAATAAGAAGCCGATTCTCAGTTATGATCCTCTGCATTTTTCTATGTTGAATTTCAAGCTCCTCCCCCAAAGCAGCAGGGTGAATAGTAATGGGTTCTGATCCACGTTTCAAACCAGGCCTAAGACGATCGTGACGACGAGGCATATGATTTTTCTTCGCCATAGTCAGAGTACCCAGCAGCAATGAAATCACGATTGTTAACCAGAGAAGGTGCAAGCATGACACAATCCAGGCCAAACAATAGAAAAAGGCATTATAAAAAAAAAGTGTATATGCATTAATCCAAGCACCATTTTGAACCTTCTTCATGGCTCGTTACAATTATACAATTTCATAGAAATGAATCATAAATTCAGTTTCCTATTTTTAATAGACAACAAAAATCATGCTAGTATTAATTTATCAAAAAAAAAAATCATACTAGTATTAATTTATCAAAACAATAAAATAAAAATCACACAAGTATTTCTTCATTCTAAAGCTCAGCCGCACCAAGAAGTCCCAACCTTGTCTCGCAACAACAACAGCAAAGCCCTAATCCAGAACTAGTGAGGGTCGGCTATATGAATCCTTCTGCATGATCATTACCAAGTCCCCCTCAAATCCCAACCTTGAAATTGATTACCACGCTTTTATCCTAACACAAACTTTGAACAAATTATATCACCAAATAAAAAAAAGGTAAAATGTTGATAGTTTTAACATCAATCAGAACCAACACGAAGATTTAATTTATTTAAAAGAGAAATTGCGGGCAAGGTCATTCATTTCTAAGTCAGGGAGAAAAAACAAAGATACGTAGAAACGACTATCGGTAAACGACGCCATTTCAGGAATTGATAGAATGTAGTGGTAGAAGAATAGTTATTAGTATCAATCAACTTACTTATCACAAAGAGGTGAGCTGGTATTGGTGGTGGCGGACCGGTGATGGTAGTGAGCTTCGAAATCGTCACGGTCTCGACTGAGAGAGAGAGAGAGAGAGAGAGAGAGAGGGTGCTTGTTTTCTCGAAAATCGAAACTGTCTTCGCGCGCCGATGCGATGGGGTTCTACTTAATGACGCATTTGCCCTTGCTTCTTTGATTTCTTTTCTTGTTATGAGATATGGCGTTGGGCCAAATTTTGGGATCTTAAAATTTGTCTTGGGCTTTATCAGATTTGAACCTTTAAATTGCGAAAAGAAATAATTGCTTACTTAGCCTAAGTCCAAACAGATTAACTCTCCATTCGGCCTGACATGTGTTGAGTTAAAAGGACCCAATTGTGCTTCAACTCTACCAATTTTTGTTTTTTGGGAAAAACAGAGACGGTGTTCTGTATACTTTTATTAAATCAAAAAATTCAACTCTATCGATTTATAGGCAATAAAAAAATATAAATAAAAAAATTCAGTGATAGAACAATTTTTTTTTAAAATTTCTTTATTTGTAATATTGTTAGTAAAATAATTTTTTAAAAAAATCATTTTGAATTTTTAAGGAAATTTGAAATTTTAAAAATATATTTAAATTATAAATACTGAAAATATATTAAAAATTTTATTTTGAAATTTTCATGGAAATTATAAATAAAGAAAAAATAAAAAAATTTTCTTTTAATCTTTGTATAGTTTATTTATGTATAATTGTTTTAGTAAAATTATAAATGAAGAAAAATTAAAAAAAATAAATCTGTTCTTTTACCGAAAAGTAATTTTATATTTAAATATTTAATTTCTTAAAAATTTTCTTTATTAATAATATGTTCTTTTTAAAATAAAAAAACCTGCCTCTAAATTAAATTTTGAACACATGTCACCTTACAAGCATGATGTGTGCTCTAAAGTAACAATGTTTTGTTGTTTACTTAATTGAGGGAGCTTGATCGAGAGACGTATTAAACCAAAAGAAATATAGTTGAGAAAGCTAATGATTCAAAATAATAGTATAGGGATAGACTAAAACAAATTGATATAGTATAAGAACAATATGGTTCTTTAACTTGATATTTTTTAGATTGATTTGATTTTTTTTTTTATGTTAAGTTGTTTTTTAATTTTTGACCCAGTGAAAAAAAATCATAATATGCATTATTAGAAATAACTTTTGATTTGTAACAAAATTGACTCAAAATTTTACTTTCATCAAAATTTTAAATTTTAGCCTATTGATTTTAACTTATATTAAGAGTTTGATTGGCATGGTTTTGACTTTGAATCATAATTTAAAAATTATTTTTCATAAGTAACTTATAATGGCATGACTTTTGACTTTGAATCATGATTTAAAAATTATTTTTCATAAGTAACTTATAATAAAAATGAGTTAAAATGACTTTAAGTTAAAAGTATATTTAGTTATTAAAAAAAAAAAAAAACTCAATCGAACTTTTTTTTGAAGAAGTGATGTAGTATAAGTTAGAATCAATAGTTAAAAGTTATAACCTTTGATTAAAGAAAATTTTGATTCGAATTTGTAACAAACTTTAATTTAAGTTAAATGTTATTTCTAGTTAACTTACTTATAATTTTTTTTAAGTTAAAGTTAAAAATAATTTAAACCAATTTCCAAAAATCATGCCAAATGTTACCTAAATCTCTTCTTCAATAGATTTGCTTTGTCATTTTTTGTCAAATGTGCTTTAAGTCAACTCATTTTTGTCATAAATTATTAAATAAAATAAGTTTGGAATTATGACTCAAAATCAAAAATTATTTCTCATGGATAATGCCTAACAAAACTTATATATATATATATATATTTTTTGAGATCTGCAACACCTTGCTTCCTGTGCTTATTTGAAAGTATTAAAACTAAATAGTGTTTTCAAGTTAGGAATTGTTGAGTATATTCATTCGTAGCAAAACTCGACTTTAGCAGCAATACCAATCGAATACTCTAGGGGTTGTGCAGGCTGGGACCAATGCTAGGGTTCAGGTCCAAGACCAGGTCCAAAGAGGCACGAGGTTGGACCAAAATCGGGTCCTTGGCACCCAAGTTTTGGACTGGATTGGGGGTGGGGTCGAAACAGAGACCATGTCGGAGAGATTCGAATTTCGAGTTTAGAAATTAGTTCTGATAACTCAAATATTTAATTGAAAATAAAAACATTTTCTGAAGAAAAGAAAATAAAAAATAGTCAGCCAAACAAGTTTTTAAATTTTTTAAAAATTAATAAAAAACTGAAAATTAAAACAAAAAACAGGAAATAGAAATGATACCAAACAACCCCTTCACTTTTTTTTTTTTTTTTAATAAAATACTCCATTTTTTTGAAAACTTTATTTCTAAGACTCGTTTTTTAAGAATCGCCACATTTAAACTCTAAGCTAAATTATGGTTTGAAAAAGGCATTGTAATAGCTAGGTGAGAACACAAGAAACCCTTATTTCCTTTAGGCCTAACCACTTAATGTTGAGTCTGGGGAAAAGATTAAATCAAGTTTAGATTAGGACCTGACACAAATATACGAGAAGTCTTCGTAATTATCTAAAAATATAACACAAATTATATACATGCAGGATAACATAAACCCTGACATCACATTCCTTCTTTCCTTGGCTTGAATAAATTCAAAAGATCTTTTTCTTGTAATATAGGTGTCATTACTTTATCGGATCTGTAATCAATTTTGTGAGCTAGAGTTAAAATTTTCAAACTTATGAGAGCTTGTACTCATATATGACTTGTGAAAGAGAAAGGACAGATGGCTAGAGGTGAGTCATTTTCAAGACAAAGGAATATGTCGAAATTTCCTCAGGTCATTTATCCTCTCTGAAGTTTTCAGGGAGATGGATTTGAAGGTAAGAGGACATATTGATGAGGCCACCACATCATCGTTATCCACTATGTTTTATTAATCCCTATCTAACTGCAGGTTTTGTCCAACCTGTTGTCTAGCTGTGATCTCTCCCTACTAATTTAAATGAGAGCAAATATTACCACTAAAATTTTAAAGATTAGTCGCATTATTCATTTTTGTACTTTTTTAGACTTGTAGTCTTTCGATCCATTCTTTTTCTTTATTTATCAGATCCCTTTATTTTTTATATTTTTTTAATATGACAGATAAAAATAAGAAGTAGAGTGACGCGTCACTTGTATATGACATGTTATTTCACATGTTAGGTTTATTTAATATATCATTCCAATTGTTTATCTAAAAAAATAAGACAAATTCCACTGGAAGAGTCAAACTGAAAAAAAAAAAAAGATAACAAAAAGACTTATATGATAAATAAATAAATAAAAGATAGAATAACTGTATTAAGAAAATTTTAAAAATAAATCATGCTATTAATCCAAAATGTAACACTTTTACCCAACAAAGAAAACGATATTTTATCGAAAAGATGTCATTAAAAAAATTTAGAGAATAAAAAGACTTGATAAATAAAAATAATGATAAAATAACCATATTAAAAAAAAATCTAAAAAATGAATCATTCTATTAATCTGAAATTTTAACATAAATGCTGCGAAACATAAGCAATAACCACTTGCGAAATGCAACTATCAAAAATGTTATTTTAGTACTTGTTTTTCTTTCTAAGAAAAGCCATAAAAGACAATTCTATAGCAGTGGTGATGTTTATTTTACTGTTTGATAAATCATAAATGTTTATTTTTGAATCCAAATTTGCAATTACATATTAATTATCGTACATATTAATTAGTTACTAAGTAATTTCATCTATTTTTCTTTCTAAAGAGAATTGAATTTACGCCGAATGCTGTTTTTTTTAATTGCATTTGGCATGTATAAATGCCTGTTAGATCAAATCATAAGAGATGTAGGTATAACTGCTAGGGTCCTTTTATTCCCATGATTTTATCTTTACGTAAATTCAAAGATCTTTTAATTAGAGAGAGATAAAAATTTGAGTTTTTTTTTTTTAAATTATCGAACATCTATAAGCTTTTTGACTACATAATAGGAGATAGTCTTTCGCATTACATAATCACTAGAAAAAACTTGAAGTCATTAGAATTCGAACCTTACTTCAATAAAAAAACACTAACTGGATATATAACCATTAAGATATATATATATATATGTATATATATTCTTTTTTTATTCAAAGGAGAGGTAAAGCTTTAAAAAGAAAAATGAACTGTTATATAATATGGGAGAGACCATACCACAAATATCCTTTAAAATGAGGCTGATGCACCCTAGTTGGGCATGTTCAAAATATGAAATGCCGAGTGGAGGAGAGTAAACATGAGAACAAGCCAGTCAGCTATATGATTGGCTTCTCTATAGGTGTGAATGATATGCACTTGCCAAGACTTCTAGAGCAATCTAAAAATAAAGGAAATCAGGTGACCATAATTCCCATGATGATCCTTAGGATTTTGGAGCAAATGGATCGCTATCATGGAGTCAGTTTTCAAGAGGATGCTCCGATATTGTAAATTTCAAGTCATCTTTAATCCAACTAGATGCCTTAAAATTCCACACATAAAACAAAGTAGACTCTTATTTGATAGAAAAAACAATGTAGCCAGATATCTGCATTGTCTCGAAAAATACCACCAATTATAATTAAAATACCAATTGAATTGCACAGTAATCCATCTGTGTTTAGCTTTAGCAACCATCCAATCAAAGGTTCATGTTTCAATGGCTTCGGCATCCTTATGCTTTACACCATATCCATACTATTGACAATGTGATTAGTGAAGACATGGACAACCTCTCTTGGCTTGTTAGACATGACAAAGCTGTCATCAAAGATACTTTTATTTTGCCATGACCAAAGGTGCCAATAACAAAATCCAAACCACGTGCTCCAAGAAATAGCTTTTGAAGAAGGCATTTGAGATTTAGCTAGCTTAGACCATATCCATTCCTTTAAATCAAGTGTAAGGAAATGATTCATAAAAGTGCATGCCCCAACTTTATTCCAAATTGTCGATGTCCTAGGACAATCCTTAAGAATATGGAGGATGGTTTATAGTCCCTGCTAACATCAACCGAAAAAAGGTTACGTAAAAAGTCCCTTATTCATTCTTTTGACGTTGGTTAAAAGTTGGCCATGAATTGTTAACCATAAAAAAGCATGCACCTTTTGCGATCCTCTCCACTGCCAGATCAAGCTCCTTGGATTCATTGTATGGTTTGTAACTAAAATTATATATAGATAGGCTGATTTAGTGGAGAACAACCCGTTATTTGTAAAGACCCAACATGGCTAGTCTTTATCTTGACTGTCAAATGGAGGAGGTACTCCTGCAATCTTCAAACAAACCGAATTGGTCAGTGAGTTGTTAAATTTATCCCACCCAGATTGGTCGTAGTTTGTGACATAATTTTTTACTTTCTCATGCAAAATGGCTATTGGAATTGGCATACTAGGACGGTCTATGAGTGGCCCCAGATTAGGAATCCATGCATCTAATCAAAAACTAATTTTATTACAGCTACCAAGGGACCAACAAATGTCACTAAATGCATCCTCACTAAAGTTAGAAAAACTTTGCCATAGGTTTGAGCAATTTACCTCTGCAATAGAAAGAGCCTTTTGTTAAAGACTAACTTTGCCATAGGTTTGAGCAATTTACCTCTGCAATAGAAAGAGCCTTTTGTTAAAGACTAACTTTATATTTACTGCATAAAATCTTAGCCCCTAGAGAAGAATTGTTTCAGATGATGTCCCTTCCAAGTTTCGTAAGTAATGCATTGTTCACATCAGGAAGCTTTCTCAAGCCAAGCCCACCCTGTTCCTTTGATCTACACACTTTTCCCACGAGACAAGATGAATTTTTCGTTCCTTTTCTAAACTGCCCCAAACGAAATCCTTACAAAGTTTCTCAATGGCGTTGATCGTGGAAGCCGACAACCTAATAGTTTGCATGCTATAAATGGGAACGGCTCCTAAAATGGATTGAGTTAGCATAATCCTCTCTGCAAGTGATAGGTGTTTAGCTTTACATCCTAACAATCTCTTGCAAACTTTATCAACCACCTGCTTATATGCATTATGATTTACACAGCCATGGTGTAGAGGCACACCTAAATATCGGCCTAGGTCATTTGTTAAACCGAAGCCAGATTGCTTATTGAGGAGTCTAGCTCTGCTTTTCTAAACATTGTTACTACAGAACATTCTCGTTTTTGGTTCACTTACTTTGTGCCCAAAAACTTAACAAAATTTGGCAAGAAGCTCCAATATGACTTTCAATTATTCATTGTCTGCCTCAGCATAAAGTATCATTTCATCAACAAAAAATAGGTATGTAATTGGTGGTCCTTCCTTACTTAAGAAGATAGGCTTTCATTTTTTGTTAAGCACTGCTGTTTGAATTAAATGACTCAATCGCTCCACACAAATACAAAACGGTAAGGGATAGCGAATTGAGAAATTTTATAATACACAAAGAATAACTAAGTGATATGTACAATAATTACTTTAATGAATCTATTTAAAAAAAAAAAGATAAAAAAAACAAAAACAAGAGAGAAAAAATTTAAAAAAATTGAGCAAACGTTAGAGTAACCATTTATATGTCATTAATTAACTTTTATGTATTATAAAATGTCTCTAGCGAATCATCTTGTCTAACACGCCTAAATGGTTCAAGACCTTATGTAGATAGTCTATTGAAGGCAATTTCCAATTCCACTGACAACAGACACTTCATTATGATCAAACACAAAGGGGAGGCAAACCAACATCAAGCAAAGTGTCCAGGACGAAATCTCACCGAAGCCTATTAGGCTTTCTCAAGGTCGATTTTAATTATCATCCACCCTTTTTCTTGTTCATAGAATGAATAATTTCCTGCACAATAATAATGTTGTTCGTTATCTTCCAACCCGGGACAAAGCTTATTAATATAACCATTGTTATTATTCCTCTTTGATATGGCAAGTCTAAAAAATCTTATTCTCCTTCTCGATCCCATACAATATTAATGGATATCTAATATTGTGAAACACGTCTACCGATTCAATGCACCTTGAATTTCAAACATTCTTTTTTATCTTTAATTTCATAAACCTCTTAATTAGCTCATAATTTATTCATGAACTATCATATTAATTATCTAAATAATTTTCAGTTATTATTCTAATAAAAACTAAATAGACTTAACTTAATGAATGTGTATTCAGGTAGTTCGCTAATAAAGTGAAGTTCAAGTTTTAATGATTTTAAGGTTTTTTTTTTTTGGTAATTATATAATGAGATAAGAATATTCTGTTATGCAATCTAAAGCCTCATGGAACTCAGATTAAAATAATAATAATAATAATATCATTAATTTTCTAAATTAAGAAACGGATTTTTATTGAAAGTTTAGTTGGAGGAATTCTAACCCCTTAGTATGTATAGAAGATAGATAGATAGATAGATAGCTGCCACTATAATTTTGACAAAAAGCCCGGCCGGAAAACGTAAATAATAATGACTTGTCAAATGTCACTATAAAATACATCTAGAGTATAGCATGTTTTAGTAGTTTTTTTTTTTTTTTTTTTTTTTAATTGAGAAACAGCCATGAAAGATATATTTTTAGTACTAGTGGCTATTGCTATTTTACCACTTGATAAAATGTATAAAAATAAGAGATTAATAGAATTTGAATCAGACAATTATACTGTCTTTGAAAAATAGGGTTATAATTAAAACAAGTGATGTCTAATACTAATGAAACGAAGGCAATCCCTAATTAGTTCTGTCTATTTTACTACTGTTTTTCTTTCTTTCTTTCTTTGAGACTGGAGTCTATTACCGATAGACATCATGAAGGTTTATAAAAATCTTGTACATTCTGGGATTATTTTCGAATGCGGTTAAGCGAGATGGTGATGTCTTTCAAAATTAATGGAAAAATTTTCTAGTTTACTCCACTAACATGCAGCTGTAGAGTTGGGCCGAAAGTTGAGAGAGAGATGGATCAAGGGGACCGCAAACAAAAGTCTGAACTTTAAACAGTATATAGCGGGGAGCAGGGACATACCAACAAAAGGGTCTCCTTCAAATTTTAGTGAGAAAAGGTTGCGGGGAGAGAGGGAGAGCAGAAGATGGGCTCAAGAAGACTCATTCTCATCCTCACCACCTCTCTTGACCCCACAGGAAATCCCTTGACATGATTAGCAGCCAATTAGAACACAGAAAATAGGATGATCTTTACAAACTCAGCCAATGGAAAACCAGATAAGGCAATTTTGTGGTCCTAAAAGTGCAAACAACTTTCTACGTGGAGAACTCCCAAAAAGTGCATCCAAAATAAATAAAAAAACCCTATCCTGTTAACTGAACTGCAAAAGCGCTCCTTGTGGGACACACCCTCTATGTACTCAAATTATTGAGCCAGTGTGAGGTCCAAGCACTGAAAAAACACAGCGCGAAAAAAAGGAAAAAACAAATCCCAATGACCACATAATTTCTGGGAACCCTTTTTCTTGCTCGATTCCCTAAGTTTTGTTGATTTGATTTTTTCTTTCTCACTTGTTTTTGGCGTCAAATCTAGTTTCTTGAATAAAACCAGAGTCTCATGATTTGTAACAAAAGTTTGGCCAACGCTGCTGGTGGCAAAACTGCTAGAGCTTGTGATAGTTGTATAAAAAAGCGTGCTAGATGGTACTGTGCAGCTGATGATGCATTTCTTTGCCAAGCCTGTGATTCTTCAGTCCACTCTGCGAACCCATTGGCACGTAGACATGAAAGAGTTCGCTTAAAGACTGCATCACTTAAATCTTTGGACCTAGCTTCAAAGGAGAATTCTGTGCCATCATGGCATGGAGGATTCACTAGAAAAGCCAGGACGCCAAGACATGGCAAGCCAGTGTCTCAATCAAAAATTGAAGAAAGGATAAGGAATATTCCAATTCCGCTCGTGCCAGAAGTGGGTTCAGATGAGGTATCGCTCGAGGATAATGAAGAAGAGCATCTGCTTTATAGGGTTCCAATTTTTGACCCTTCTGTTGCTGAATTATGCACTTCAACAACAATCTCAAACGAAGCAGGAGCCATAGTACCAGCCGCTGGTAATGATGCTGATCAAACGGTTGCTGATTCTAATGGAATCGAATCAAAGGTTTCGTTTGGTGTAAGTGAAGGGAAGGATGTTGAGAGTTTGCAGGGACTTCTACCATCTGATATGGATCTTGCAGAGTTTGCAGCTAATATGGAGAGTTTGCTTGGTAGGGGTCTTGAAAATGAGTCTTTTGGGATGGAGGATCTGGGACTTATGGATTGCAAAGAAGAAAACGAGTTGGAGGTGAAAGGGTATCCTTCAGGGAATATTGGAAAGGTGAAGGTTGAAGAGGAAGAGGATTATGCAGGCATGGAAGAAAAAGCTGTTCGGGAATGTCATGGTGATATTGAGATAGATATGGCAAAAGATCCGCCTTTTGAGTTAAGCTTTGACTATGACTCTCCTGCAGCTTGTGGAGAGCAATATGAGAAGGTAGGGATTGAAGAGGGAGACTTGAAGAACAGAGGTGGAGAGTATGAAGACGATGACGGTGCAAACAAGAAGAAGAAGAGGAAGATACTGCTGAGTCTCGATTATGAGGCTGTCATGACTGCTTGGGCAAGCCAAGGGTCTCCTTGGTCTAACGGTAACAGGCCAGATTTCGACACTGATGAATGTTGGCCGGACTGCTTGGTAAGATTTTTTTTTTTCATTGCTGGTAATTTGTTTCATTTTTAACTCGTTAAAATAGAATCCTCTCGTTCACATATGACGTGTGTGTGTGTTTTTATTTTTTTGAAAAATAGATCTTGTAGTTACTTTTATATTTTTCCTTTTTTTTTCGGAAAATAAAGAGCAAATAAACTGATCTCAATAGACAAATTATTAATTGAATTAAGTTTACCTATTTCAACTATGACCTAACTAATTTCACAATAACATATCGTTTTATTTCATCATATTACGAAAGACGATCGTTTCTCTCCATCCTCTTAACAATATTATTATTTTTATTATTACATGACTATAGTTATTGTTTGTTTATTTGAAAATTCATGATATGATTCTGTATGATCGGTTGGTTCTTAGTCTAGAATCATGAACCAGATTTACTTCATAATTTCTCATTTTAAACACATAAAGACTAGCACAAATGATAAAGCACTTGACTTAAAATATATTCTGTATGTGGAGTTTTTTAAAAAAAAAAAAAAAACAAAAAAGCAATTAAGTGGTTGATGCAACCTGACATCGCTAATTCCAAATTGTAGAGGATTAATTATGAGGACTCAAAGAGTTGTCTCTGTGTGTGTATATATATATATAACAATAATAATTTGGCACTTTAATTTTTTGATTCATTTCCTTTTTTTATCATTTGATTGCATGATGGGATTTGAAATTTGAATTACTTGATCATTAAACTGCAACAATAATATTGTCACTAATTTAAAACACTACATGGAAATTTTATTTTTCCAGGGTATTTGTGGAACCCAACTTCATCATCCTTATGGAGATTTGAGGGGACTAGGGGCACACCCTACAGTGGTGGATGGAGGACGAGAGGCTAGAGTATCAAGGTATAGGGAGAAGCGGAGAACAAGACTGTTCTCTAAGAAAATAAGATACGAGGTCAGGAAATTGAATGCAGAGAAGAGGCCCAGGATGAAAGGGAGGTTTGTTAAGAGGGCAAACTTCGCTGGAAAATAAATATTGACTCCTCTAGCTACACAGACAGCATTGCGATCAACACTGATATGTATATTACTTAGGCTTTTCGACCGAGGGTCCTCAAAAATTCAATAAATAAAATTTTGTGCTGTACAGCTTCGGTTACTTGGTATGGGTGCTCACTCTTTCCAGATAACTTTCGATATCCATTGAAAGACAGGGGGAATATTTTCATGCCATCTACTTGCATCGATTTTTTTTAAAGATAAATTAAATATCCTCAATATATAGTTGAAGCGAAAATTAATAGCGTATATATCTCTTTTCATAATTGAATAATTAGTGCTTAATTAATTGTTCAAGAAAAATTAGTTTCGTCGAGGGGAAAAAAAAACCTTCCTAATCTATGTTGATATTTTACATTTTTTTTTGTATGTTAATGGATAATAAAGGAATTTATGTAATAGTTATATAGTTAGACTATACATATTTTTTAACTTAAGTTTACATTGTCATCCATCATGGATATACTTAACCCACCACTAGAGTCCAATAAAAGTTTTTAATTGTCACATACAGATTTTATTCAAAAATAAATATATAATAATAAGATATGAAGAGTTAATATCCTTATCTATTTTTATATAATACATTAAGTTTTCAATTTGTTCTTATATCCTAAAACGACTCTATTATGTCTTTATTATTTGAGTTGATTTTTAATCTATCTTTCTGGTCAAAATTTTGTTTCAATTCTTCAAGAATTAATTAGCCTAGAAAAAGGAAATATATGTAGATGAATTGGCTAGAAATTTTGACGAGAAAGATATATTAGAAACTATCTCAAAAACCAAAGACATAATAAAGTCATTTCAAGATATAAAGATAAATTAAAAATTTGGTCTATTATATAAGGATATGAGAATATATGAACCCAAGATATAGCATATGTGTCAAATAATGATATTTCTCACATTCTTTTACTTCATTCATATGACACTATAAGAAAAGCAAATTTCTTTACAGAGTTCAAAATAGTTAGTAAGTGAAAACACTTACACTTATATCGATACTACAACATATGAATTATAGTGATCATACTTTATACCCAAGCAATTTCTTTCATGCATTACAATATATTGCATTCTCAAAATAAACATTAAATAAGCAAATAAAATTAATAAATAAACTTTCAATAATTGTTTTGGTTCAACTTTATATATCCTCATAGATATATAAAAATTAATATTTATGTACACAAAAATCACATTAATCTCTAAGAATAACATAAAAAAAAAAAAATCTAGACAATAAATGAAATACATAAAGTTAAACATCAAATAGGATAGTTAGACCCATATGATTTACATGATCTCTATATTATTTTTCCGATAGTGCTTTAATCATAGAATCGGTAACCATTACCTTAATGTTAATATACTCAATGAGAACTTTATGTTTCTTCACTTTCTCTCCGACAATGAGATACTTTATGTTGATATTTTTATTTAGCTTCTAATCTTACTATTCTTAGAGAAGAAAAAAGTATTTGAATTCTAACAATAAATCTTTACTAGTCTTGATATTGAATCAATAATTTTTAGACAAAAAATGAAATTCCTTTATCGAGTAGCTTGTGTTGTTGATTCATACAATGCAATAAATTATACTTTCGTAGTAGAAGAAGAAAAAATAGTTTGCTTACTAATTCTCCAAGATACAATTCCTTTATTAAGAAGAAAAACATATCTTCAAGTAGACTTTTTGTGTCTACACAACCAAGAAAATCCAAATATGAATAACCAATCACCTCAAGATGATTAGTATGTTTGTAAGTCGATCCGTAATCCTTAGTTTCTTATAGATATCTAATAAATTTTTTAATAGCTTTTTAATGTTACATACCATAACCGTTATAGAACCTTTCCAATATTTCTACTACAAATAATAAGTCGGATCTTGTATAGACTTATGCATACATCAAACTTCATGTTATAGATGCATAGGGAATGCTACTCATTTGTTTCCTTTACAATGCATTTTGTGGACATTGATTCTGCTTGTATATGTCTTATTTGAGAGTGGGTGCTATGGAAGATGCATAATTTAACATTTTAAATATTTCTAAAACTTTATCAATGTAGGCATTTTAAGATAATATATATATATATATATATATATATATATATATATATATATATATATATATATATATATATATATATATATATATATATATATATATATATATATATGAATCTCTATGCTAATAACATAAAAGGCTTCAATCAAATCTTTTGTATCAAAATTTATGAAATAAATTGCTTAGTCTCATAAAGTATATACATTGATCAATAATATTCTTTATAAAATCATATGAGATAATGATACTATGAAATTTAATATATCAATGTCTAGAGACTTACTTTATCCTATATATAGATTTTTTTTAGCTTACAAACCAAGTAGTTATTTATTTCATCATAAAACCTTCAAGGTGATTTATGTATACTTATTCATCTATATTTCTATTTAAAATTATTGTTTTCACATACATCTAATGTATCTCTAAATCAAAATGAGCTACCAATATCATTATAATTCTAAATGAATCTTTCTTAGAGATCACATAGATGGTTTCATGGTAATATAAGTTTTTCGTTTGAATATAACCTTTACTACAAGTTTAGTTTTATATTGCTTGATATTATCAAAAGAATCTCTTTTGGTTTTATAAACTCATTTGTAATGGATGGCTGCAAATCCTTCTAGTAATTTGATGAGATTCCAAACTTGAGTTTTAGACACAAATTCCATTTTTTCCTTCATGGTATTACACCATAAAGCAGATTTATTTATTTATGACTTATGAAAACGAGTTTGGATCCTCTTTAAGTCCAACATCAAAATCAAACTCCTAAAGATATACGATAAAATCATTAGAAATTATTAATCTTCTTACTCTTAAAGATCCCCTTAATTTAATTTTTTAATGTTGATTTATCTCATCAAGACCGAGTTGATCTTGAATTAGTTGTTGTTCAATATACTCTTATTGATTTTCTTGAATAATATCCAAATGTCATGTACCTTTATGCAACTTAGTTAAATCCTATGTTTTTTTAATGACAGGAAACTCTTTGAAGACTTTATGTAAAACCCACAAGCAAACCAAACACCCTTTAGGCCAAAACCCATAATTAATACAAATAGTCAATTTGGCATAATTTCAACACTAAGACAAATCAAACAACAATCCAAACACAATTCAACACTAAATCAATCAACAAACAATACGACAACAATCATAAGTTCTAATAATCTCATATTTAGCACACATAAGCCAAAATTTACAACAACAAGCGAAAGCTACAAACCCCGGGAACTAGGATTAAACCAAAAAGTAGTCTAACGTTGTCGAAACTTCATTAAATTATAATAAGATCTATTTAGGCCTAACGAGATATGCATGGAAAATTTTCAAATAAATATGAAAACCCTAACCCAAAAATCCAATAGTGTTGCACCTCTACAAAGTCACAATAAAATAATGAAATTTCAATCTTATGCAAAACTAGAATTAAAGCAAAACTAACAACATTCAAATAAATACCATTCTAAGTTTCAATTAGAGATAAGCAATCATAACCTACTTGTGAAGGTATATGGAGATTTGTAGGATACGTACGTATGTCAAGGTTTACAAGATACATATGCTAGAACTTAAAGATATAGATACCATTACCTTAATTCTTAAATGCAATGATCAAATTACTACCTTTAGTGATTAGTGCCAAATTTAAAAATAAAATATTTTATATTATGTAAGAACACAAGGAAAAAAAACTATTATCTCTCGCTTAATTTTTATCAAAACAACAAAACTATCTATTTATAGAAAAAAGAAACCCTTTCATACTTAGAGTACATTTTAGCTAGGCCTAAAGAAAATTATGTCTCTAAACACCAATCCAGGATGAAATAATTAAAGAGGAAAACAACTAACTCCTAAACTAATATGGACCTAAAACTTGGTTCCAATTTATACTTAACAAGAACTAACTAATGTTTGTTCAAATTAAATAAGGATTCAAATATTCATAGATAGCAAAAATAACCCAAATAAAAATAAACAATCTACATCTACCAAAGATGAATTATAACATGCAAAACAAAAGATAAATAGACAGCATTTTTTGCCTAATATACATCAAACATTTGGCTTCTTCTTCTTCTTCTTCTTCAAATTTGGTCCTTCGACCTCTTAGATGAGTATGGACACTTGTGTCACCTAAACTTCTATCCTTAAAAGAAAATCACTTCTATTGTGATCAATATCCTTAAAAATTTTAGCATTTTTTATCTCTATTATTCTTGTATTATAAGATACTAAAACCTATATCCCCGAGAGTTCATTGCATAATCAATGAATATACGCGGGTTGTTCTTGGATCTTAACAGTGAACATTATTGATTATATTGATTTTCTTATATTTAGTATTTTGGATGTGTTTTTATATTCTTTATGTTGAATAATATTTATTTTATGATTTAGGAAAAGAAGCAAAAGTGTGCTAATTTGGGTGAAATTCTACCTGCTAGCATATTGAAATTTAGAGAAAGATATCAAAATTTCACATTCTTAGAGCTCTAAAAAGTAAAAAAGATCTTTTTAAGAATTAAATTAGATATCTTTCCAAGTTGGGTTTAAATGCATAAATCCAAGTTGTTTTAGGTTGTCAAAGTCGGTTGTAAAATTGTTATAGAAATTCGAATCCTATGATAATTTGAAACACTTATCAGCATTTAGACCATATATGAAGTTCTACATATTGGATTGAAATAATTCAAAATGCTATAAAAAGAAGACATCTAGGCCTACAATTCTCATAAGAGTCCAAATCCAAATCTATTTCCTTCTAATCCTATATCAATTTGGAATTTTTAGAATGAAACTAGAAGTCTTATTCGAGTAACAAGTCCTAATTAATTTCGAAATTAACCCTAAATAGGACTTGTGAGTTATCATATATATATAT